GGGGGGGGGGGGTCTCTCTGCTTGCAGACGGTTCGAAGCTCACCATAGCAATTTGGTTTTTCATAAACTGAACATCCTCTTTATGTTTAAGGATTTAAATAATTTTTAACCTCAGTGGCAAAACACGTAACTTATTTAGAGCAATTTAAATGATCATATCGCTAAGGCTTCCTCTTATGTTTATCCTAATTCTGCTTCTTTAAACACAGCTGGCCTTTACTTTCTGAATGCAGAACTTTTCTTAACTTTTTTATAGCTATGTATTCCTGAGGTTTGAGAGTAGATAAGTGAGAATTTCAGCCCTGCCACAAATATGCAGCATATGGAGTTACAACTGTGTTTGCGACAAGATAATGAAAAGCTTGGATTGTTTACTTTCCATCGTTGCAATATTATGAAACGAGAAGATATACAGCAAGAGGAGACAGGAGTAAGATTGTATACGTGCAGATCCCTTGAATAGTGTATAGTTATTACGATTTTAAAAGTCATAAGCATTTCACTGATATTGGTTATCTCAGTTCTTAAATGGTTCAGAAGTTTGACCTTTATTTTATCCGCTTTAAAAGCAGATTCAGTTTTGTTGGCAGTATTCTTTCTGTAGAGTTGCCAGTCACACAGTTGTCTGGCAAGTTACCATTTCTATTGCATTTCTGTTTGAAGATGGGATACTCAGTAGCAGTTTATCTAATGTTTGGTAACAAATATTATCCTCCTCCTTTTACAGATGCAAGTAGTAACAGAGTTAAAAACGGAGCAAGATCCTAACTGCTCTGAGCCTGATGCGGAAGGAGTGAGCCCTCCCCCTGTGGAATCCCAGACGCCAATGGATGCAGACAAGCAGGCCATTTATAGGTAGCTCTTGAGGCGTGGCGCTCACGTGGGGCTTTAAGGGGAGTGAAGAGAAGACTTGGTTAACTGGGACACTAGAGCTGTTAACTGAAGTCCCTGGGTGGTGCGAGTGTAACACTCGGCTGCTGACCGAAAGGTTGGAGGTTCGAGTCCACCCAGAGGTACCTCAGAAGAAAGTCCTGGTGATCTGCTTCTGAAAATTAAGCCATTGAAAACCTTATGGAGCACAGTTCTACTCTGACATACATGGGATCACCATGACTTGGGGTCGACTTGATGGCAACTGGGAAGAAAAGCTATTAACTAGGCAGGGGTGGTAAGGGACCATTATGTCATGATTGTGGTTGGATGACAATTTTCTCAGATTAGATATTATGTATAATATTTGAAAAAAAGGTGTGGAATATAAATCTGTATTTTAGATAACCTTGTGAAAAAGAAATCTTCAGGCCTGGATAGTTTTACTGAAGAATTCTACCAACCATGTAAAGAAGAATAAAACAGCAAGCCAACATAGTCTCTTCCAGAAACATAGAAAAGGAGAAATACTTCCCAATTCATTCTATGAGTCCAGTATCACTCAGATACTAAAACCAGGCAAAGACAATACAAAAAAAGAAAATTATAGACCAATATCACTCGTGAACATAGTCATAAAAATCCTCAATAAAATATTATCAAATGGAATCCAAGAATATATAGAAAGAATAATGCACTGAGATTAAACGAAGTTTACCCCGGGAATGCAAGGCCGGTTCAGTCCTCAAAAATCAATCAGTGAGCTCTACCACGTGATTATATCAGTTGCTACAGAAAAGCGTTTGACAAATCAACATCAATTATACTAAAAACTGTCAACAAAGTAGTAATAGAAGGGAACTTTCTTAACTGGTAAAGGACATCTGCAAAAACCGAAGGTACCACCATACTTACTGGTGAAGGACTGCATGCTTTCCCCGTGAGATCAGGAACAAGGAGGAGATGTCCACTTACTACTCCTGTTCAGCATCGTGGTAGGCGTTCTAGCCAATGCAGTAAGGGCAGAAAAAGAAATCAAAGGCGTACCAGATGAGAAAGGGAGGAATGAAACTGGCCCTATACACAGACGACATTGTCTACATAGAATATCCCAAGGAGTCTACCAAAAAACTTTCTGAACCATTAAGTGAGTTTATTAAGATCGCATGATAACAAGTGCAACACACAGGAACCAGTACCGTTTCTATACCAGTATTGAACAATCGGAAACTGAAATTAAAAACAATATCATTTATAAGAGCTCTCAGGAAAAAAAAATTAGGTATAAATATAATAAAACATGTACAGAATTTTTATGCTGAAAATTGCAAAATACTGGTGAAAGCATTCAAAGAAAACATAAATAAATGGAGAGACATACCATGGAAGATTCAGTGTAGAAAAGATGTCATTCTCCAGTTGATCTATAGGTTTAACACAATTCCAGTTAAGTCTCAGCAGAATTTTTTTTGGTAGATATAGACAAGCTGATTCTAAATTTTCTATGGAAGGCAAAGGCACTAGAACAGCTTAAACAATTTTGAAAAAGAAAAGTAAAGTTGGAGGAATCACTGTACCTGATTTTAAGATTTCCTGTCGTTGTAGTGGAGCCCTGGTGGCACAGTGGTTAAGAGCTCAGCTGCAGTTTGAATCCACCAGCCACTCCTTGGAAACCCTATGGGGCAGTTCTGCTCTGTCCTATAGGGTCAGTATGAGTCAGAATCAACTTGATGGTAACAGGTTTTTTAAAAAAATAATTGTAGTATTCAAGATATGGTTGTACTGGTAAAGGGGTAGACACACAGATGAATCGAGTTGAGAGTCCAGAAGTAGATCTACACAAATACGTTCATTTGATCTTCGAGAAGGGTGCAGAACAATTCAATGGAGAATGGATAGACTTTTCAACAAATAGTTTTGGAACAATTAGACATCTGTATGTATAAAAAGATCCTTCACCTAAACCTCACATCTTATACAAAAATTACGTCAAAATGGATTATACATCTAAATGTAAAAATTAAACTATGCAACCATTAGAAAGAAACAGAGGAGAAAGTCTCTGTGACCTGTAGTTATGAAAGAGTTCTTAGGCAGGAAACCAAAAGCACGATTGACCAAACAAAAAGCCGCTAAGTTGGGCCTAATCAAAATTAAAGGAGTCCATGGGTGGCACAAACGGCGAGGCACTCGACTATCAGCCGAAAGGTTAGCGATTCGAACCTACCCAGAGGTGCCTCGGAAGACAGGCCTGGCAGTCTGCTTCCAAAATGTCACGGCCTTGAAAACCCTATGGAGCAGTTCTACTCTGCACACGTGGGGTGGACGTGAGTCAGAATCGATTCCATGGCAGCTGACAACAATATTCAAAATCGCTCTGCCCAAGACACTGTTAAGAGAATAAAAAGACAAACTATAGACTGGAAAAAAAATACTTGCAAATCAGATTTTCAACAAAAGACTGGTATCTAGAATATATAAAGAACTTTCAAAACTTAACAGTAAGAAAACAAGCAAGCAGCCCAATGGGAAAACAGGCAGAAGACTTGAACAGATACTTCACCAAAGAGGACACAGTGATGGGGAGAAGCACGTGAGAAGAGGTTCAGCATCGTTAGCCATTGGAGGATGCAAATGAAAGCTGTGAGGCGGTACCACTATACACCTATTAGAATGGCTCAGCTGAGAAAGGAGCCCTGGTGGCACAGTGGTTAAGAGTTTGGCTGCTAACCAAAAGGTCAGCAGTTCGAATCCACTAGCCACTCTCTGGAAACCCTAGGGGGCAGTTCTCCTCTGTCCTGTAGGGTTGCTATGAGTCGGAATCAACTCGATGGCAAAGGATTTAAACTTAAAAAAAAAAAAAAGTGATAAAACCAAATACTGGCAAGGCTGCTGAGCAACTGGAACTCTTACACATTGCCGGGGGAATGCAAATGGTTTGTCAGTTTCTTGTTGTGTTAAACATACACTTTCCTATATGACACAGAAATGTCCAGTACTTCTGGTTATTTGCCCTAGAGAAATGAACGCTTTTGTTCACACAAAATTCTGTGCACTGTTTATAGCAGCTTTTATTCATAATTGTCAGCAACTGGAAACAACCCAGATGTTTTTCGGCAGTTGAATGGATAGATAAATGGTGGTATATCCATACAGTGGAATATTACTCAGCAGTAAAAAAGGAAGGAATGCCGATACATGCAACAACTGAAATGAATTTCAACTGCACTGTGCTCAGTGAATGAGGCCAGTCTCAAAGGTTGCACATTGTGTGATTTCATTTCTATGACAGTCTTGATAAGTGGTTGCCGGGGGTTGAGGGTGTGACTTCCAAGGAATAGCGTTAAGGGGGGTTTGGGGATGATGGAACTGTTTGGAATCCTGATTGGGGTGGTGCTTACACAAATCTATACATACGTTAAGAATCACAGATCTGTAGAGCAAAAACGAGTCACTTTTACTGATTGATAATTAAATAAGTCATAAAATAGAATGGTCAGAATGTAAAAAATCAATAGATTTCACATACCTCAGCACTAACCCAATTAAAAAAATTTCAAAAAAAACAATTCCACTCATAATAGCTACAAAACCTGTAAAATTACTAGAAATAGACCTAACAAGAAGTAGGCAAGAGCTACATCAAGAAAACTATTTAAAACAAACAAACAAAAAAAAAAACTACAATGAAGGGTGTAAACAAAAACAGGAATCAACAGAGAACTGTTTCATGTCCTTGGACAAGAACACTTAGTGTTATAAAAGTTTCACTTCTTCCTGAATCAGGTATAAATTTCGTGCAATTCAATCAAAAGACCAGTAGGATTAATAAAAAAAAAAGGACAGACTGATTCTAAAATTTCACCTGGAAGAGAAAAATGTGCAAGAATAGTTAAGAAGCTTTGAGAAAAGAGCAGTGTGAATGAACTCAGACCATCAAATTTTAAACATCTGCTGATGATAGTCTAAGTAGCGTGGGGTTAACCAGGAATACATAGGTAGAGGTCAGTATACCAGCATAGAGAGTCCAGACAGAGTCGTGTGGTCATGAAAATGTAGTCTATGGTAAACGATGGGGCATTGCTAACCAATAGATAAAAGTAAAAGACTAATTAATACATGCTGTGGGTACCGTTAGCTATTTGGGAAAAAAAGATAGTGATATTCTTACCTCAATATACTCACAAAAATAAATTCCAGTTAGAGTCAAGGTCTAAGTGTTTATAAGATTAAAAGTATATAAGTAATTTGAAGAAGATACAGAGAAATATATGCGTGACTGTATTTAAGTTGAGGAGGCTTTCTTAAATTCAAAAAACAAACAGTGATGGATTTGAATAACTCAAGCAGGAAGAAGAAACAAAAGCAAAACAACAAAGCCCAACACTTTTATAAAACAAAATACCATAAAACAAGTTAAAAGACAAGTGACAGACTGGGAGAAAAATTGTGTAACAAACACAAAATATTCTAAAATGTTTAACACGATCAGTAAAAAAAGACAAACAGCCTAAAATAAAAGTGAACAAAGGATATCGATGGGCAAGTCCTTGAAACCGAAAAACCAAACCCGTTGCCATTGAGTCAGTTCTGACACATAGCGACCCTATAGGACAGAGTGGAACTGCTCCATAGGGTTTCCAAGGAGCTCCTGGTGGATTCAAACTGCCGACCTTTTGGTTAGCAGCCGTAGCACTTAACCACTATGCCTCTAGGGTTTCCAAAGTCCTTGAAGAGGACAGTAAATGAGCAAACATATGAAAAAAAATCCAACAACGAGATACATCGTCCAGAATGAAAAAGATGAGTCCCAGTGGTGCTGGCCGGAGTAGGTAGGTACGTTCCTTTGTGGAGAGCGATTTGGCCCTCTAATAAGTTTTATAACGTTCATGCAGACTGTTTCTGGGTACATCTCCCAGCAGATAATTATGTATGTATGTATGCTAAGGCTCTCAGACTTGAGCGTTGACTGCGGTGTTGTTTGTAAATCCTCATCAACAGTAGGAGAGAGGCTACCCTGTTGGCGCTTTTGTACTGTGGAGTACCGTGCTGTGGTAGAGAACGACAGACTTCCAGGAGCTGATATGAGCAACCTCTTAAGCAGCACTGACAGCGTAATTTGTGGGATCCAGTGCAAAAAGAAAATGCAGGACTTCTTGTGTAAAAAGTATGAAGAATTTTAAGATGACATTAAACCAGGCGTGGGCTCTGTGCAACTGCCCAGGTCCTGTACCCATGAAGCCAGCTCTGCTCCTATGACATATTTGGAAGAGCAAAGCAAATGATAGAACCATACGGGTGTACAGTGTTCTCTGGAAGAGGATACACACCAAAGTATTAATCGTAATCACCTTAAGGGGAGAGGATAGGATTGAGGGGGGAGTGCAGTGTGGTATCCGATAGGATTTTTGCTTGATCTGAATGGTCTTAATTTTTTGCAAGAGGAATATATTCATTTATTTGTGTAATTGATAATAAATGCCAGAGATAGCCCATAAAACTAAACGAGACTAAAGGGGCACAACAGACCAGGGACAAGGACTAGAAGGCAGGAGAGGACAGGAAAGCTGGTAGTAGAGAGCCCAAGGTTGAGAAGGGAGAGTGTTGACGTGTTGTGGGGTTGTTAACCAATGTCATAAAACAATATCTGTACTGTTCAATGAGGAACTAGTTTGTTCTGTAAACCTTCATCTAAAGTACAATAAATAAATAAATACCAGAGATACCACTTCATATCCACTAGGATGGCTGTTATCAAAAAGACAGATAATAGCAAGTGTTGGCAAGGTTGTGGAGAAGCTGGAACCCACATACACTGCTGGTAGGAATGTAAAATGGTGCAACCACTTTGGAAAACAGTCTGGCAGTTCCTCAAAAAGTTAAACATACAACCCAGCAATTCCACTCCTAAGTATATACCGGAGAGGATTGAAAACGTACGTCCACACAACAATTTTGTACATGAATGTTCCTAGCACTGTTCATAGTAACCAGAAGGTGGAGCCCATGTGCACCAGCAGGTGAATGGATAAACAAACTGTGCCACATCCACACAATGGACTATTATTCGGCAGTGAAAAAACACGTTACAATGTGGGTGAACCTTGAAACCATCATGCTGAGTGAAAGAAGACAGATACACAGGACCACGTATCGTATGATTCCACTTACGTGAAATCTCCAGAACAGGGACATCTATCGAGATAGACGGTTGATTAGTGGTTGCCTGGGCTGGGGGCGTGGATTGGAAGACTGAGGTTGATGGCTGAGAGGTGCAGGTTTTCTTTCTGAGATGATGAAAATGTTCTGGAATTAGATGGTGGTGATTGCACAACTCTGAACATACAAAAATCCATTGACTTGTATAGTTTAAACAGATGAATTGTATGGTATGTGAATTTTATTTCAGCAAAGCTGTTGTATGAGATTATAAATACATACATACATAGGTGTATTCATATATACCAGAATGTTCTTGTGGAAAGGTGGAACATTTGCTTCTTTTTCTCCTCCCCGCCCCGCAGGCATCCGCTGTTCCCACTGTTAGCTTTGTTGTTTGAAAAATGTGAGCAGTCTACCCAGGGCTCCGAAGGCACCACTTCGGCCAGTTTTGATGTGGACATTGAAAACTTTGTCAGGAAGCAGGAGAAGGAAGGAAAACCCTTCTTTTGTGAAGATCCGGAAACCGACAATTTAGTAAGTAAAGAATATGTTTTATTTTTATTTTTAATTTCTTCTCCGCTTAAAACCCACTCATGAAACTTTAGACTTTTCATTAGGACTTTAGACTGTAGTTCTGCTAGAAGAAACAATGGTGCTGTTCATGCAGAATTTACTATATTAAGGGTGACTTGAATGTCTCCAGTCTTCCAACTTTCTCTAGTTACCCTTCCTTTAATATGCAAATGAAGTGGGTTCTGCCTCCTTCCCAGGTGGACTGTGGGAAATCCAGCTCTCCCCGACTGTCTGAAGGTTGGTTGGGGCTGGGTGCTCACAGGCCCTGACTCCCTCATGTCGCGTCTCTGACAGGCTAGGCTTAGCCCTAGACATGAACACAAAACTGTGACTTAATTCTCCAAGACAGCGCTGTCTCCAGGTGGCCCCGGCCATATGGTGGTTGACCAAGCTTTCTGGAAGACTCGGGGGCAGAAGGGTGCGCAGTGTAATCAAGCATGCGCAGGCACAGAGCCGGAGGTGACCAACAGCACTCTGCAGAGGAAACACAAGATTCTTTGAAGTTAGATGGCTGCGCCCTTCACAGGAGCCAGCTGACATCGGGCTCTGCCTGGTGTGACCATGTGTGTGTTCTCCTCCAGGTCCTGCTGAACACCCTTGACATCATGAGGGCCCGCATCAACCTCCTTCATCAGCTCTCCTTTGAGGGCCTTAGCAGCCCCCAGTCAAAATCTTAGTCAGACCCTGTCAGCACAGAAATGTTAGAAAACTCGTGCGCATACTCTAAAACCCTACACCTTACATCACGGCATCAGGGATGGGAGGGCAGAGACTGTATCACATCACGATAGCGTTGTGTCTAAGGCTGCTGGGAAGTAACAAACCCGTTGCCATCACGTAGATTCCAACTCCTAGTGACCCTATAGAGGTTAGTACGTCCCGACCAGAGGGAAGAGGCTCCTGTCACGTGTGGGTGGGTTGTTCCCACTCCTGCTTTTATTGGTTTAAACACCATTGCTGTCAACAGTATCACTCTTAGGAATGACTTCAAAGTTTTCGTAAAATCTGACTCGCATTTGCTTTGTGGCATTTTAGGATGTAAAATATTGTTTGTCTCCAATAAATGAAGCTTTAGGTGTGATTAATAAGAAACATAACTAATAGTAAAAGAGTAAAATTATAGTCGATGACAGGTGTGCCCAAGGGGCCACGTGACAGGGAGAGCGGGTGAGGGGCACGGGGTGGGCGAGGGTGTCTAGGTCCTGCGTAAAATTTAAAAACACCGAAACCTGAACTTACACGTTCATGTAGTAAATATGCTGATCTTATTTCACGTTTATGATTCATTTTCCCCAGTAATTGATTTTACCATTCATTATTTAGGAGTTCACACTGTGAATTAAAACAAGCAATTGGGGCTCTGCTCCTTTCTGAGTTCTTCATGTCATGCTCGTGAGACTTTGGTACAAATGTAGACTTGTTAGATGTAGAAGGCTTTCTGCCTTTATCTAAGGAAACGTGTGAATGTTTATTAGGCTCTAATCTGCTTTACTGTGACTGCGGACAGGAGTTTGGTTTATTTTGACTTGAAGGGATTGGCAAGTCTGCTTTAAATAATTACTAGTTGTCCCCCCAACTCTGGATACAATGGGAGAAGAGCTTCAACAGCCCCTTGGGACCAGGCAAAGCGGGGCACTGCCCTTCTTAGCAGGAGACTGTGGGACCCGAAAGAGGTCTACAGTTGAGGGGGGGCTCGTGATGACACAGTCACTCTCTGCCCACGTGGTTCTCACCACCACCACCCCCCGCCTGGCACAGCTGGAGCTGACAGAAATCAAGTGGGTGCTCCCTGTGGGCTCCTTTCTCAGCACTGCACTGTCCCAGAGTGCTAATCTGCAGCACACCCCAGAAGGTGGCGAAGACTTACCTCTGTTTATGGAGGAGGAAAACAGGAGCGGCAGTGGATCAGGGGTGGAGCTGGGCTCAAGCCCAGTACTTCGTCCCTGGCCTGCCCACCTGACACTGACATGCTGAGCCTGGCCTTTGAGTAGCGTGTTGCCAGCATGCCAGACCGGGCCGCGTGCAGCCATACACAGACAAGGTACCAGACCACATGCTGGCATGTCTAATCTCTGATGTCACTCCACGTCGGTCATTGGCAGTGAAGATGGCATGGCTGTATGGATTTCAGTCTAGTAACTAAGAATAGTGATGTGGAGGTAATTGTAACCTAGATAGTACTGTATTTTTCTTGTCTGAAAGTCTTCATTTTCTCTGCTTCCAGATGGTAAAAGCAATCCAGGTTTTGCGTATTCATCTTCTTGAGCTAGAAAAGGTTAATGAACTCTGCAAAGATTTCTGCAGCCGATACATTGCTTGTCTTAAAACGAAGATGAACAGTGAAACTCTGTTGAGTGGAGAACCCGGAAGTCCATATTCCCCCGTACAATCCCAGGTATTTATGTTTGGGATCTGCCCACTTCCCAGTTACCGTAAGCTCTGATTCCTGGGACCACCAGCCATGCGGTTGTAAGAAGTAATACAGAGAGATCCTATGTGCCCCTTACCCAGTTTCCCCCAATGGTCACATCTTGCAAAACTGTAGTACGGTGTCACACCCAGGATATTGATGGTGACACCGTTAAGACACAGAACAGCCTTATCCCCACAGGATCCTCCTGTTGCCCTTTACAGCCTACACCCACTTCCCTTCTGTCTCTACCCCCTCCGTAGCCCCTGGCCACCGCCTGATCACCATTTCTATAATTTTGTCCTTTCAAGAGCTTTATATAAGTGGAATCATACAGTATGTGACCTTTTGAGATTGGCTTTTTCACTTAGCATTTTTCACTCAGCGTAATTCTCTGGAGATCCATCTAGATTGTTGCGTGTATCAATAGTCCGTTCCTTTTTATTGCTGACTAGTATTCCATGGTGTGGATGGACCACATTTTAACATTCACCTATTGAAGGACCTCTAGGTAGTTTGCAGTTTCGAGACAGTTACAAATAAAGCTGTGGTGAACATACATCATAGTTGCGTATTCAGTTTTGTGAGGAACTGCCAAGCCGTTTTCCAAAGAGTCGGTACCATTTGACATCCCCACTAGCAGTGTGTGAGTGATCAGGTTCCTCCACAGCCTCGTCAGCATTTGTGTTTTAGCCATCCTGATGGTGCGTGGTGATATCTCCCTGTGGTTTTAATTTGCATTTCCCTGGTGGCTGACGATGTTGAACATTCTTTCATGTCCTCGTTTGCCATCTGTGTATCCTCTTTGGTGAAATGTCTGTTCATGTCTTTTGCCCATTTTCTAATTGGATGGCTTGTTTTTTTTTTTTTTAACTGTTGAATTTTGAGAGTGTTTTGTATAATCTAGATTATTAGTCATTTGTTGGATACGTGGTTTGCAGGAAGTCCCTGGGTGGTACAAATAGTTACTGTGCTTGGCTGCCAACCTAAAGGTTGGAGGTTCAAGTCTACCTAGAGGTGCCTTGGAAGAAAGCCCTGGAGATCTCCTTCTGATAAATCAGCCATTGAAAACGCTATGAAGCGTAGTTCTCCTCTGACAAACATGGGGTTATAACAAGTTGGAGTCAACTAGACAGCAGCTGATTTTATGGCTTGCAAATATTTCCTCCAAGTCTGTACTTGTCCTTTCATCCCCTTACCAGGGTCTTTCACATAGCAAATGTTTTTATTTTGATAAAATCCAATTTATCAACTTTTCCTTTCATGAACTGTGCTTTTGTTGTCAAGAATTCTTTGCTAACCCTAGATCCTAAAGAATTTCTCGTATGTTTATTTTCTAAAAGCTTTATAGTTTTACATTTAAATCCGTGATCCATTTTGAGTTAATTTTTGTAATAAAGTGTGAGGTTTAGGTTGAGGTTCAATTTTTCGTCTATGAATGTCCATTTGCTCCAGAAACATTTGTTGAAAAGGTGATCTTTCCTCCAATGAATTGCTTTTGCACCTTTGTTAAAAATAAATTCGGCTTGTTTGTGGGGTCTTTCTCTGGTTTCTCTATTCTGTTCCATTGATCTGTGTGTCTGTCCCTCTGCTAATACCATACAGTCTTGATTGTTGTGCTTATAAGTCTTGAAATTGTGTAGACTGATTCCTCCCACTTTATTTTTGTTTTTCGGAATTGTTTTCCTTGGTCTTTCGATATAAGTTTTAGAATAATCTTGGCTATATTTACAAAAAGTATTGCTGGGACTTAGAAAGGAATTGCATTAACCCTGTATGTCAAACAAACAGCAGCCAACCCAACAGTAACAATAAATAGATGAGTCAGCCCGTTTGGGCCTAAGTTAAGATGGGTAGAGTCTCCAGTGTTACATTTACAAACGCTGACATGGAGCTTGCTGCAGGCCAGGCCCTATTCCAAGCTCTACACCAGTATGAACACACAGGTGGTCCACATGTGGACACCACACCTGGTAGGGGGGAGGGCAGATACAAAGGGTTGGGTCAGCGGGGTCTGGGGTCTTTGGGTCTGGTGGCTTTTGGTGGCCTCCTGAGCCTTTGGATGTGCTCAGTGGCTGTCTTTACCTTGTCAAGGGAGATGTGGTTCATGAAGATTCCAGAGTCCCTGGGGACAAGTCTAATGAAAAAGGTGGCTGATGAAACTAGGCAATTTTGGTCAGATAGCAGCATCTTCATAATCACATCTCCCAGGCTTCAAGATGTTTTTAACCTGGTGCTGAGGTGGAAGATAATCTTTTGAAAGCCAGGTTGCAAACTAACTTTTCGGTATTGGCCATCACGTTTAATACTCAGTGAAGTTTGCATCTCTTGGTTTTCATATATGTAATGTGTGCTTTATGATGTCTTGTCATCTCTTTCCTTTGTTAATAACATCATTATGCCCCTAACTTTGAAGTTTAAGCCTGGGTTTTCTTTGGTCTGATAATGACTTACATCTGTGTGCTGTGCCTTACAGCAGATCCCGAGTGCCATCACGGGCACACTCAGCCCCCAGGGCATCGTGGTGCCTGCGTCCGCCCTGCAGCAGGGAAACGTAACCATGGCAACAGTGGCAGGTATGTGTGAAGAACAAATGGACAGCTTTTCCTTGAGCTTTTGCAGGAAAAAGTCCTTTGTATTAGAACTAAGAAGTACGTTGACAATTTTTAATTGTTGCCTTGATCTTCAGTTCTGATGTAGCAGTACTGGATCCCAGACTCTGCCTGTTTCTTCTTAATTCTCAATAACAAATATTTTACGCCAGCTGTTTTTTCTTACCAAAAAAAATTGAGGTGGGGAGGTTTTATGTAAGAGTTGAAAGTGTATAGCAAAAACCACTTGTAATTTTCAAATACAGATTTTAATTGTGCTGGTGACAGCACCTGGAAAATCTCAGGTTGTACCATTAATCGGTGGCGATGACATGAAACCGCAGTCTTAGTATTAAAATTGTTGTTAACACCTAGATAGCACAGCCCAGCAAGAGACGTTCCGTGGGGTTCTGGGCTATCCTTGGGGTTTGGAATATCTGTGTCCTGCCTTTATCTCGCGAGCCACCTCTCCTCTTGGGTGGGCTCACCTCCCCAGCCCCAGGTGTGTGCTGGGGTTCCTCTGCCAAAATGCTTAAGAAACGGGGACTCTACAAAGGGGAGGGAGGAGGAAATGGGGTGGCAGAGCTGGAGAGAGGTGTGAGTGGCCAAGGGGTCTCTGCCTGGGGTAGTTTAGATACCAGGCAAGAAAGCATGGTCCCTTCGAGGGTTTGGCCAAAGGCATTGGACAAAAAATACTTTTATTACAGTTATCCTTTTTGATCAGTTGGGCTTTCTTCTTCCTGTGGAGTTTTCCTTTGCGCTATTATGGTTTTTTCTTTTTTTTTTTTTAATCCCTCCTTCCATCCCTCATTTCATTTGCATGGTGGTTTTATATTTGTAACGTTTCAGATGCACCAAGAAGCCCTGGTGGCCCAGTGGTTAAGGTCTCGGCTGCTAACCAAAAGGTCGACAGTTTGAATCCACCAGCTGCTCCGTGGAAACCCCATGGGGCAGTTCCACTCTGTCCTATAGGGTTGCTATGAGTCGGAATCGACTCGACATCAGTGGGTTTATGGGTAGATGCACCAGGGAACTCTGGAATCCGTCCCCTGCCTGTAACTGTGTTAACGCATGATACGTGCTCATTGTAGGAAAAAGTAGAGAACAGAGGCGAGCAAAAGGAAGGGAACTCCAGAACCCCATGTGAATTACTGCTCCTTGTGTTGCATGTTCCGTAAAGGACTTGGCGAGGAGCGACGCATGGTGCCCTGCCCGTCACAGGCACTGAGTACTGCTCGTCGGATGTGTGTGTTACAGTCGTTTATAGCGACGAGTCAAGTAGCAAAGAGTGTTGTCGGTCATTTGAAATGATTGAGAAAGCTCATCAAACTAGAGATGTTATTTCTTCCGGAAGTATATGGAGAAGAATGGTTTGAAATAGTTAAGATTGTAGCTTAAAAGTAATTTGGTTTGTCTCTGCTTTCTTTTCGAGGTGGCACAGTTTACCAGCCTGTAACGGTGGTCACTCCCCAAGGTCAAGTAGTGACGCAGGCGCTGTCTCCGGGGACGGTTAGGATCCAGAATTCACAGGTCTGTGCTCCATCTTTAGGGGCGAGTTTCTGGGGGCACGTATGTGCACCTGAGGGAGTGAGCAAGCGCAGGTGCGGGGACATGCAGGTAGAACCAGGCCTGAGCTGTGTCCGCCTCGTGATGGTCACGTAGCTCAGACTGGCTGCCGTGGAGTAGTTTTCCATCGATCTAAATGTTAATGTTTTGTTTCTTTTTTCTTTTTTACTCTTCATCTCCCTCGTTGTAGAAAATTTGCAGAGTTCAGAAAAGCCCAAAGAAGCAGGAACAAAATCACCACGACGCAGCAGCAACCGCTGGTGTCAAACATCTGTGTCTGAGTTGGGTGGTGGTTTAGGGTGAGGGTCTGTCAGGAGATTGACAGTCATGTGAATGGTCTCTTTATGGGGCCCACCTGGAGGCTGACAGAGAACCACCTCGGCCAGTTGTTCAACTGTGCCAGGCCCCACCCAGACCTCCAGGTTGCAAATATGGGTGGGCGCAGGCCTCTGTGCTTTGCAAAGCTTTCCAAGGCCATTCTGATGTGCCGCTCCTGAGCCAGAGCTGGCTGGGGGCTATTCCTAGGTATGTTCCAGAAGACTTCCCTTAAAGTGCTCACAGACACCAAATGAGAAGCCTGAAGGGAGGTTTAAAGTAGTGACTCTCGGCCTTCCCTTTTCATGTTGCCAGATGTGGAGCCCTGCTCCAGGGGGGCTGCAGCCAGGGTCTCCTACCTCCACCCCGTGGCTGGTGTCAGGCACCAAGAAAAGAGGGGCACCGCACTAACAGAAGGGACAGGGCTGGAAAAACCTGAATTATGCCTGAGGCCTTGGGGTTGTCCTGCCGTCTCCAAGTGCCTTTGCTGTCAGATGAGGAGTCTGGACGCGTGGTCTCCAAGACCCCTTTACATTCTGGTTTATATGCACATAATGTGTGTGTGTCTACGTGTGTACGCATGTACATGAATACTTTGAGGTTCCAATCAGAAAGACAGTGTTTATGTTATCCGTTCTTATTTGAAGAATATTTCTTCATTCTTTGTACTAGTTCTTCGTCTTTGACCCACAAAGATCTTTCTGCGTCCTTATTGCAGGCTTTGGGAGTGTTGGTATTTTACTCAGTAAAGTAACAGATAACATAATAGGCAGATTGGTGATCACCTTTGACCTTACCACAGGTTTAGTTGGACAAAGTCTAGTGAGTCAAAGGACACTGGAGCTGGGGCAGGGCTGGGCCTGCCAAGGGGGTGGGGGACTTCATAGATCATCTAAGTACTGGAGGGCTGGGGTTTGAAGTGACTTCCTCTTCATCGGCGTCCTCCTCTTTCTTGCCCTCCTCCCCTCTCCCCCTCCTCTTCCTCCTTCTGCCTGAGTTTGAGTTCTTGATGTACTTTAGATGATGAGAGTTTCTGTGTTTTTGTATTAGAAACTATCAGGGTTGGTTTTATCAAGGAAATGGGTGGTTGTCCATTATGGATCACATTGTCACTTTTTCTTTAACTTAGAGCACTGTCACGGGTGACTCTCATCATCATCACTACCAGTGGTGGTGGAGGTGTGGGTGCAGGTGGTGGAGGTCGTGGCAGTAGAGGAGGTGTGGGTGGAGGTGGCAGCAGTGGTGGTGGCAGTGGTGATGAAGGTGTGGGTGGAGGTGGTGGAGGTCGTGGCAGTAGAGGAGGTGTGGGTGAAGGTGGCAGCAGTGGTGGTGGCAGTGGTGATGAAGGTGTGGGTGGAGGTGGTGGAGGTCGTGGCAGTAGAGGAGGTGTGGGTGAAGGTGGCAGCAGTGGTGGTGGCAGTGGTGATGAAGGTGTGGGTGGAGGTGGTGGAGGTCGTGGCAGTAGAGGAGGTGTGGGTGAAGGTGGCAGCAGTAGTGGTGGCAGTGATGATGGAAGCGTGAGTGGAGGTGGAGGTGCTGGTGGTGGCAGTGGCCTGGGTGGCAGCCATAAATAACCCTTGTAGCTTGGGCCCTAGACCGTTTCTCATTCTGCCACACAGGGTGGGTCCCTGCCTAGTGTCTTACCAGGTCACATGGAGTCACATGGACTGGGGTGCTCCCATGGGGGTGGTTTTAGCCCAGAGTTGCCATGCTCCTCAGCAGAGAACCATCTAGCACATCTTTATTGAAAATTCTTTCATTCTGCTTCTAGTACAAACTCATTAAAATTTTTTGGGGGTGAGATTTCATTGATTTTCCTTTCACCCCACCCCACTTCCACCCCTTTCCCAGTAGTCTAATTTATATAACCGTTACTCATATTTTAGGTTTTTTGCTGTGGTTTTGGCCAGTGACACAAGGTTTTTGCCTTCATTTTACTCTTTACAGTAATTTTTCTCTTTTTATCGAGTTGATATATGTCCTAACACAGAACGGCAAACAGTGCTGAAAGGCTTATACCCAATGACAACCGCTCTCCGCCCCTCCTGGTGCCTAAGGCAAGCACTCTTACGTCCTCCAGCCATTTCTTCTGCTGCTTACCTCCGTGTCTCTAAGCATAAATGCTGTTGTTGGGTGCCGTTGATTTCGGCTCTAGTGACCCCATGTGACAGAAAACCCCAGAGGGTTTTCTAGGCTGCGAAAGTTTATGGGAACCGATTGCCAGGTCTTTTCCTTTTCAGACAGAATTGAGGGCATGTAATCTAGTCTTTTGCCAATGGCTCGAGGGAGTCAGTATGTTTAGTGGCTGCCAAGGTAGTCAGCCTTCGTCCCTCTGCCTTTTAATTCCTTTTTGTCTGCCTTTGTGGTTTTTCTGTTTCTTTCCTCTCTGTTCAGCTGGCGGGTCCTCTGCTCTAGTTAGGCTACTTTCTAGCTTCCCTTGCCGTGCCCATTTGTTGCGTGGAATCTGTTAGAGTCCGGGAACTCAGAGGCCATCATGTACACTCCTAAAGGAAGCACAGGTTAGAATAGCCAGTGAATAACAGGAGCAGGGGATGCACCTGTCTGCTTTGGGGCCCGAGGCCTCCCCACCAGGCTTCCCCGGCTCCGTCCCCTTCCGTCGGCCTGGCCAGATGAGGCCCTGCTGTGAGTAGTTACAATGCTGAGGGAGCGCTGTCCTAGAGAAGCTAGCTGGCACAGGGTCCTGGCTTCTGCGCCGTGAACGCGGGCAGTCATTTAACCCTGAGGTACTTGTCATCGTCTCCAGCTGATGTTGAAAGCTACTTGGACATGTCCTGATGCTCGATTGCTTCCTAACAGTGTTTTTCGATTGTTTAACAGCTTCAGCTGCAGTTAAATCAGGATCTCAGCATCCTGCATCCAGACGATGGCTCATCTAAGAATAAGCGGGGCGTCCTGCCGAAGCACGCGACAAACGTGATGCGGTCGTGGCTCTTCCAGCACATCGGGGTGAGAGTGCCCGCGCGCCGTGGGGAATCTCACTGTGACGGCCCGCGGGCCTGCGCTTTGCACCGCGTGTCCGGCGTGTCCATCACGTGTGGCACACAGAGCTGAGGGAGGGTCATCAAAAACGGGGACATCGCCTCAAGAAACTTGGAGTATGTAACAAGGGAGACCGCTAGTGAACGGGATGAATACCTGCTGTTAACCGTGTAAACGTGTGTGAGAGAAACCCGGGCGTCAGGGGGACAGCGATGAGGAGAGGTTGACCAAAGAGGTGGGGACAGAAAAGATACATTTGACCAAAGTCTTGAAAATATTATTGGTTAGAAAGGAAGCTGCGATGGTGTTAAAGATCGAGATGTAGAAGAGAGTATCATTGACGGTCAGTAGATGATTTGATAACTTGAAACTTCCTTTGACCCAGAAGTGACATCTTTGCTTTTTAACACTTTAAAGAAATCCTGTGCAGCAGATTCGCCCAGTGCAGTGCATCTTTTGATTTCCTGACTGCTGCTTCCGTGGATATTGATTGTGGATCCAAGTAAAATGAAATCTTTGACAGCTTCAGTCTTTTCTCTGTTTATCATGATGTTGCTTATTGGTCCAGTTGTGAGGATTTTTGTTTTCTTTATGTTGAGGTGTAATCCATCCTGAAGGCTTTGGTCTTTGATCTTCATCAGTAAGTGCTTTAAGTCCTCTTCACTTTCAGCAAGTAAGGTTGTGTCATCTGCATATTGCAGATTGTTAATGAGTCTTCCTGCAATCTTGATGTCGCATTCTTCATATCATCCAGCTTCTCGGATTATTTGTTCAGCATACAGGTTGAATAAGTATGCTGGAAGGATACAACCCTGACTCACACCTTTTCTGACTTTAAACCACGCAGTGTCCCCTTGTTCTGTTCAAACGACTGCCTCTGGGTCTAAGTACAGGTTCCTCAGTGTTCTGGAATTCCCATTCTTTGCAATGTTATCCATAATTTGTTATGATCCACACAGTCAAATGCCTTTGCAGAGTCAATAAAACACAGGTAAACATCTTTCTGGTATTCTCTGCTTTCAGCCAGGATCCATCTGACATCAGCAATGATATTCCTCATTCCACGTCCTCTTCTGAATCCGGCTTGAATTTCTGGCAGTTCCCTGTCGATGTACTGTTGCAACTGCGTTTGAATGATCTTCAGCAAAATTTTACTTGTGTATGATATTAATGATATTGTTTGATAATTTCCTCATTCTGTTGGATCACCTTTCTTTGGAAGGTGCACAATATGTATCTCTTAAAGTCACTTGGCCTGTTAGCTGTCTTCCAAATTTCTTGACACAGACGAGTGAGTGTTTCCAGTGCTGCATCAGTTTGTTGAAACATCTCAACTGATATTCCGTCAATTCCTGGAGCCTTCTTTTTCTGCAGTGCCTTCAGTGCAGCTTGGACTTCTTCCTTCAGTACCATGGGATCTTGATCATCTGCTGCCTCCTGAAATGGTTGAACGTCGACCAATTCTTTTTGGTATAATGACTGTGTATTCCTTCCATTTTCTTTTGATGCTTCCTGCGTCGTTTAATATTTTCCCTGTAGAATCCTTCAATATTGCAACTCGAGGCTTGAACTTTTTCTTCAGTTCCTTCAGCTTAAGAAATGCTGAGTGTGTTCTTCCCTTTTGGTTTTCTAACTCAGGGTCCTTGCACATTTCATTATAATACTTTACTTTGTCTTTTTGAGCCGCCCTTTGAAATCTGCTGTTCAGCTCTTTTACTTCATCATTTCTTTCCTTTTCTGTAGCTACTCTACATTCAAGAGCAACTTTCAGAGTCTCTTCTGACATCCATTTTGGTCTTTTCTTTCTCTCCTGTCTTTTTAATGACCTCTTGCTTTCTTCATGTATGATGTCCTTGATGTCATTCCACAACTCACCTGGTCTTCAGTCATTAGTGTTCAGCGCGTCAAATCTGTTCTTGAGATGGTCCCTAAATTCAGGTGGGGATATACTCAAGGTCGTACTTTGGCTGTTGTGGACTTGTTCTAATTTTCTTCAACTTCATTTTGAACTTGCATATGAGAAACTGATTGTCTGTTCAACAGTCAGCCTCTGGCCTTGTTCTGACTGATGATATTGAGCTTTTCCATCGTCTCTTTCCACAGATGTAGTCGATTTGATTCCGGTGTATTCCATCTGGCGAAGTCTACATGTGTAGTTGCTGTTTATGTTGTTAAAAAAGGTATTTGCAATGAAGAAGTCACTGGTCTAGCAAAATTGTATCATGAGATCTCTAGCGTGATTTCTGTCACCAAGGCCATATTTTCCAACTACCAATCCTTCTTTGTTTCCAACTTTCGAATTCCAATCACCAGTAATTATCAATCCATCTGGATGCATGTTCGATCAATTTCAGACTGCAAAAGTTAGTAAAAATCTTCAATTTCTTCATCCTTGGCCTTAGTGGTTGGTGCATAAATTTGAGTAATGGTGGTATTAACTGATCTTCCTTGTAGGCGTATGGATATTATCCTATCACTGGCAGCGTTGTGCTTTAGGATAGATCTTGAAATGTTCTTTTTGACAATGAATACGACACCATTCCTCTTCAATTTGTCATTCCCACCAGAGTAGATCATATGATTAATTCAAAATGGCCAATACCAGTCCATTTCAGCTCACTGATGCCTAGGATATCGATGTTTATGCATTCCAGTTCATTTTTGAAATTGGGTCACTCTTTTTCCTTTTAAGTTTCCTTTAATGTTTTATTAATTTCTAAGGCAATAAACCCTGCCCATGAGGTTCTATTAAAATGCCACATTTTTCTCTGTAAAGCATTTTCTATCTCTTCTTGACCTAGTTTCTTTGAAATAATAACCCTACTTGTATTCGCTTGTGTTTTCCCTAACACCCTAGGAGAGCATTTCTCATGCTGTTTTGTTTTCCCCTGGGCTGTGTGCTTATGTTTCCCCCTCTTCTGTTTTAAGAGCTTTTTAAGGGGCAGGGACAATATTTATATTTCCGTGGCATCTAGCTTTGGGCCACACACCAATCTATTGAATCAAATTGAGTTAGAATTTGCGGGAAGAAGTAGATTGCTGCTGAGATAAATCTGATGCTACTCCAGGTTTAGCACGGTACACGCAGCGACTTTGCCAGGGCACACTGAGTGTTCACTTAAACAAAGCCCAGGTAAGGTCGCACCTCCTTCTTTTGTCAGGAACCTTGGTGGTGGAATGGTTAGCGTTCAGCTGCTAACCAAAAGGTCAGTGGTTCAAACCCACCAGCCACTGAGAAAGATGTGACAGTCTGCTCCTGCAGAGACTACAGCCTTGGAAACCCTGTGGGGCAGTTCTACTCTGTCCCGTAGGGTTGCTATGAGTCGGAATCGACTCGACGGCAATGAGTTTGTCAGTGCGCTCACTCTCTGGGGTCCAGCTGGTCCACAACCAGGAACTTCGGGCATGTGGGTGTGAGAGTCAGTGTCTTACTGCTGGCTACATGTGGGCAGTGATAAATCTTGGAGGAATTGTTTATTACTGTAGATAGACATTATTTTCCTTTGGTAATATTTTGAATCATATATAAAAGAGAGACGTACAGACACCCTGTCCCAGCCCCTGGCTTGGCTCTTTACTAGCAGCCGTACTAACCCATCAGAAACTTGTTCTAGAGAGTGTAGGTGGCCCTAGCACACTCAGGGGTCAGTTTATTCTCGCTGTACCAATGATAAGACCATGTCACCCGCCTGTGACAGGCCTGGAGCAGCTGCCTCGTGCATTTGCCGCCTCCACCCATTTAACCAGCTGTGGGATGGGGGAAGGTTTGTAAACTCTCTGTACCTCAGTTTCCTCATCTGTGAAACAATGCCCCATCTGCCTCCGGGGGTGACTGTGAGGAATCAGTGGATCAGTGTGGAACGCCCGCGGGTAGTAAAAATGGGCTGTGTCTTGCTGTGGCGGAGGTTTCGCGGTTGGAAACTCATCAATTTGTACTCTTGAATTGGAGGCAGTTTGTTGAAAAATTATTCCTCAGTCAAATTGATACAAAAAGCGTAGCTGGTTTCACGAGCTCAGACCAGTGCCTGGCGCAGAGTCAGCCCTCACAGTTCGGCGGTGCCGCGCCACCGTCACACCTACGAGCCTTCAGACGTTGTGTGGCCGATCTCACCTCAGCCTCGTCAGCTCCTTCAACACTAGTATGTTCTGCGGTGGCTAGCAGGAAGGTTTCATTCTCTTTGGGGCATTTCAAAAATAAGGTGGCAGTCTGTGAGACTGAAGTTAGGTTTGGTTAAAAGCCCTGTGGATGCTTGTTGCCATTTTACCAGCGATTGCCTGTCGGCTTCCATTTTGCCTGAATAATTGCAATTTCCCTTTTTAGAACCTGACGCTCATAGCGACCTTCTCTGTTTTTAGCACCCCTACCCTACGGAGGATGAGAAGAAACAGATCGCTGCTCAGACGAATTTGACACTACTCCAAGTTAACAACTGGTAAGATGACCAGCCCTCAGAAGTCCTGCCCACCGATAGAGCAGGGCCCTGGGAGACACTGACGCTAATTGTCTTAGTCATCTAGTGCTGCTGTAACAGGAATACCGCCAGTGGGTGGCTTTAACAAACAGAAGGTTATTCTTTCACAGTTTAGGAGGCTAGAAATCTGAATTCAGGGCGCTGGCTCTAGGGGAAGGCTCTCTCTCTGTTGGCTCTAGGGGAAGGTCGTTGTCTCTTTCCAGCCTCTGTTCCTGGGCTCCTTGGTGATCCTCATGTGGCATGGCATCTATCTTCCCGCATCTGCTTGCTTGCTTCCTTGCTTAATCTTCTCTTTTGTATCTCAAAAGAGATTGATTTAAGACACACAGTATACTAATACTGTCTCATTAACATGACAAAGACAACCTATTCTCAAATGGAATAATAACCACAGTATAGGGGTCAGGATTTACAACACATCTCTTTGGGGGACACAATTCAATCCATAACACTAAGTAAACAGTAAAATGCAGTGGAAAGTATATGAGTCTTTTACCTAGCAATGCTCTGTTAACAGAGTGCTAGAATTGGTGCCAAGATGCCTGAGAATAAATCAGCACACACTTCCAGCTTGCATTTTCCACCATCACCGTGGACTTTGGATGCATGCTACTTGCCTACTTAGGAAGGCATCTGTGGCCCCGCCGTCATGCAAACTTGAGGTGTCTCGTGAATGCGCATCGAGTGGTGGGCTGTGAGTCTGTGTCCTGACCTCCACGGGGACCTCTGCTGCCCCCTGCTTTTTGAAACCTGATGTCACTTTTCCACCTAAAAGGGGGGGAGGGACAGTTCCTCTGCCGTTTGTGTGAGGCTCCCTCTCCTGGCAGGGCACAGGACTCTTGCAGAGAAATGCCCAGGGGGACAGTCACTCCATGAGTGATCGTCCCGGGCTGGTTCTGGAGTCCCACGTTGTTGTGGACTCTTGGACCGTGACCACATGGTTTTTTCCTTGAATAAAAGTTTATAACCATTATAACTGGCATTCAGGTTTAGAGGTGGATCTACACTTTGATCTTTAGTCATTTGTCTCATTTTTATTCACTTATTGTTCAGATGTAGGAAGCCATGTAGGAAGCTTAATAAAATTGACATGTCTAAAAGAAGAGAAAGGTATAAATTCTACCGCTTTTAAGCATTAACTGTGTTAAAATGTGGACTTGTAGGTGGAGTAAGTTCCAGTATAAACGATAACACCTTCTGATTTGTGCAATCGCAAATGTAGGAGGTGCACTTCGGCATTGCATTAAAAATTTCTGTTATCTAATTTCCGAGGCCAGCTCTTCAGACAGGGATTGGGCTGGACTGTGGGACATAAAGTGATACTCGTGACGAGTGTGCCTCTTAGCTCAAGTAGATACAAGAGACTAAATGGGCAGCTCCGGTCCAGAGGTGAGATGGGAAGGCAGACAGGGTTAGGAGCTGGTTGAATGGACATGGGGAATCAGGGGTGGAAAGGAGGAGTGTGCTGTCACAGTATGGGGAGAGCAACTAGGGTCACATAACAATGTATGTATAAATTTTTGTATGGGAGACTGACTTGAAATGTTGTAAACTTCATTCAAACTTCAACAATAAACAAACAGAAAATTTCTGCTATCTTACATCAGTGCCACTGTTTTTCATTTGGGTAGCAATAATGGGCTACACTACTGAATCATTTCCTGTTAAATCTTTACATAGAGTGTCAACAAAAACGGAAAGTTTTCAAGTATCTTGTTGCTGTGATATTTGTAACGTATCAAGCATGTCCTTGGATGTTTTCATGTGGTCTTGGTTTGGTTGTGTCAGAATAGTGATTGATTGGCTGACTGGGGCATGGATGTGAGACACAGAGGCGTGTCTTGGTCACTCCAACGCCACCATTCAGCATTGTCCTTACATTTCCTCGTTTATGGCTTCCTTGTTGTATTAACAGAATTGCCTCATTTAGAAGATGTAATGTCAACTTTTAAAATTAATAACAATTTAGTAACATTACTCTTTTTGAATTACAAAATTCCAAGATCTTTTAATTAATATTTGCAGCAACTTTTATCCTTTGTGGCTTTCTTTCCTTTTATATTCACGAAAATTACATCTTGAAATGAGACTGAACCCACCATCATTCGCTTACGCCATTGCCTAGTACCAGTTTGAGTAACGAGGGTGAAGACACAGATACTGAAGCCAGCAGGGGGACTTGCCTTCCACACTCTCACTGGCGGGAGGTAGAGGCGCTGTGATTTTTTTTCTCCAGAGTCTGTCCTCCAGGGCAGACTTACGTTTCAGGCACCAAACGTTCACACTGCGTGAAGCATCGTGATGTCAGTTTAGTCCATTTATATTATGAGAGTGCGTCCTAGTAAAATCGAGATGTTCTTGAATCTTAGAACTTGCCAGTTGAGCAGCCTTTGAGTTGACTTAGTCCTGGTTCTGGGTCTTCCCCTTACAGAGGAGGCACTAAGGATGAGAGAAGTTGTCCCCCTGTGGCCAAACCTAGAGTGGAACTGAGTCTAAAGCCACGCCTTTTATTTCCATTGTACCGTAAAGACGGCCACTCAGTGTTTACCCAGCTTTTGATAGTTTAGCATGTGGGTAACTATTGAACAAAGGACATAGAAATAACTTTTTAGATGGGTTGGTATTGCTCTTTCGTCACTGGGTTAGGGATAATCCATGAATACGAACAGGTTTGATTTGATTGAAGCTTTTATGGGTTGATTGTTTTTCCTTTCATTGCAATTCATTTGTATAGCAAAGTAGCCCTCTGGTGGGGATCAAGCAGGCATGGTGAGTGTGCATGTCTAGAACTTTCTCTGGTGCTCTGTAGCTGCAGGAGTCTTTGGGCTGTCTCCCTTGTTGCCTCTTCCCTTCCCTCACTTCCTCACATTCAGAGGCAGCAGCGGGTGACACAGGGAGGGATGGAGACTGAAGAAAGCAGTCTTTTCTCTCAGCACGTTGTGAGGTTATTATCCGCATTTATGTTTATACGGAACCATGTCTGGCCTAAGCTGTTATCTTATCCATTTCACTGCGCTCTTTGTGTATGGGTTCCTGCCACAGAAGTGAGTTCTTAGTCCTTAAAAGCAGCTAAAACCAGTGAAGGACTTTATTACTGCCAGGGGCACAGGTACACCTGCTGTTAGCCAGGTGTCTGGGGCAGTTAAATAACTTATAACTCGGGTGTCCAAGAAATAGCTCATCATTTGGAATAGGTTTTTGAGAAGGTGAAACCCTATACTCAGATCCCTGCTTTGAGGTGAACCTCCACCTGGAGGTGGCCATCAGACGTTGCCATGGCAGGCTCACGTATACCCTGGTGGTGCTTCTCAGAGAAATGCCACTTAAAAAATACTCTCGTCAGACATAACGAGACTACATACAGTTTTTCTGTTTTAATGTTTTTCTCCTTAGAAGCTTCTGAGGAATTCACAATCATGGAATAAATCAGTTGAGGTTAAAAAAAAAAAAAAAGTACCACGGAAGAGTTGGTCCTTATTTAAATGAATTATTTTAAAAACAGCATGGCCCTGTTTTTCTGGCAATTTGGATTATATGCTTGTCATTACTCTCAATTGTCATTGTGCTAGAGAGTTTGAGTTATCCTTATTATTTTTAGGAAGGTTTATTACGCTCGTGTATGGTGCGAGTTTGTGATCCTGGGGCTGCCTTGGAAAAGGCCATTTTAATGTAAAGTTTTCCTTTGTTGGCGCTCAGGTTCATCAACGCCAGACGACGGATTCTCCAGCCCATGTTGGATTCCAGCTGTTCAGAAACTCCAAAAACAAAGAAAAAAACTGCTCAGAACAGGCCAGTCCAAAGGTTCTGGCCCGACTCCATCGCATCAGGGGTTGTCCAGGCACCGCCGAGTGAGCTCACCATGTCAGAAGGTACGGGCTGGGGCATGCGGGGCCAAGAGACCCAATATCAGGGCTCACGTCACGTAGAGAATGTGCACACGTGACGTCAAATGGTGAAAGTCTATGAGTGAAAGGGGACACATCCGGTCATATAGTGAAAGCACTCGGGTGAGGGGACACGTCGCGTCACGTAGCGAAAACGCTCGGGTGAGGGGACACGTCCCGTCACGTAGTGAAAGCGCTC